GGTACCTTGCAGTGATATCAATCTGAATACCTAAAGCACAGCCAAGGGTCAAGTGAACGTGAGGTCAGGTGTCAAGGGTCAGTGCACGTTGAAACTCACCACACACAAGGCTATGAATGGTTTTGAAAGACAAAGTACACTTCTGAAGAAGTTACAAGTGTGGGCACGGAGAGGACTGAAGGAATTTTTGAAGTGTTTCGGAGGACGAAGACGATTAGCCTGGGACTCACTTGCTGTATTCTCCTTGCGTTCAATGCTGTAAAGAGAGATGTGATAGTCCACGCAGAAGACAATGAGCAGGTCCTTGAAGACGTTGAGGAGGAGGACTTGGTAAGGCACCTTGGTGATGCAGGCAAAGCTGTTGTCAAGGTTACACACTCTGGGATACAACCGCAACTGTAAGATACGAACAGCAAGCAAAAGCTTTGCATCCGCAGCATTGACGTCTTGAGTACAGGGGCCAATTTCATAGAGCTGTTTAAGCACAAAATTTGCTTAAGCATGAAAAATACCTTGCTTGACAAAACAGGTTACCAGCCAAAACTCCATGTCATGTATATTGTTTTTGAATGGTACTACCAGTCTTTTGGTTAGCATGACAATCACATAGATGTTGAGCCGGTGACCCCCTTTGTTTTGTAAGCAAGGTTTTTTTTTTGTGCTTAAGCAAATTTTGCACTTAAGCAGCTTTATAAAATTGGCCCCTGGTGAGGACAGTAAAAAGGTATGGAAACTACGGGGTCTGAATAATTTGCTACCCCCTCCCTAATGACTTTAGCTCCTCCCCCAATTTACACAAGGACACCAGATCTTCCCATTAAGGACTGTTTTCCCATAAGTGAACCTGAAATCAGGAAGGGACTCCTCTGAGCATAGTTAACACCAATGATGCGGAGTTCCTCCAACTAAAACCGTGCCAAGCCTAATTTGAAATTCCAAATCTCCAACGGGATTATTAAGAAATGGGCACAGTTCAATTTTGGGGCAGCCCCTTCTCCCTCACCTCATGCCGACTCTCGTAGTGGTTGTAACTGGACAGCACCAAGAAGTCTCTCCACCACGTCACCCCTCCGCTGACGGACATGTCGCGCTCCTGGGTGACGTTACCAAACAGCTTCCAACGCTTGGCGAAGAGGGTGCAGTGAGCTAAGCCAAACCGACCGGCTATGGCTACGCAGTGGCCAGACCGATCCACAGCTGCATACTGCAAAGGGAGATTCAGGGCGCAGAAATTCGTACTGCGAATTGACATGGTGCAGAACAGAAGGCCTCAAGGCACTTGAGGTGGGATTTACATGAATGGCTTCGCAACGACTAGACGGATCCACAGCTGCTTACTAAAATGAATGACAAGCAAAACTGTCTTTTC